GCTTCGCTACCCTAACTACAAAATTTTGTTTACTTTTATAGAAAATTAAAATTGATTAAACATTTTTTTAATATTTCAGTTTTATACGTTCAATATCACGTGATTAAATTCGCATTCATTTTGTATTTTTAGTTTTATTCATTTAGCTTCCACATTATAGAAAAGTAATATTTGTGTTCAATATTATATACAATTCAAAAAATATAATTTTAATGAATGAAAAAGTACCAAATGTCCCTTTCAGTAGATTCTCCTTCACTAAGGTCCCTACATTTAAATTTTATTTTCAATATCTATGTTCAATATCGTAAAATTATCAGAAAGTACCATCGGAAAAACGAAAAGTACAAAAATCTCTCTCAATAATTCTCATTTAATAAGGACCGTGTGTTCCGGTAACCATTATAAAAAATCTAAAAGGTACCATTTGAAGAAAAGAAAAGTACCAAATAGTTCCCACTTACAGAAAATACCAAACAATTTACTCGAATTTGGTCCTATAGGCCTTAGTACTCGAATTCCAAAATAATATACCAACAGCTTATTTTGTGTGAGTAAATAAACTACTTTTCCAAATTTTATGAAAATTGGCTCAATGAGTTTGAATAAAATTAAATTTCCCAGTTTTTCCCCTTTTTGGTACTTTTTTCCCCAGTGAAATAGCAAAAATTTTATTACAATAAATATTACAGTGTTAGTCCATAATTTAATAGGAATAATTCAATAAACCGAAAAAGTTTTCTTAATGTGCTAAGTTTTCTCCCTTTTACACCCAAAAAGGACTGAAATTTACAAAAGTACGAAACAGGTGTCTCATAATTTTGCGAGATGTATCCGAAATATTTAATAAAATTTTATTATGTTAATTAGTTCAAAAGTTATAAAGAGCCAAAAAGGTACCAAAATCACCTTTGTTACACATTTTTACCCCTTTAAAAGTACGAATATCAAAAAAAGTACCAGACACCCATCTGCTCATTTTAAGAGTAGATACAGGTCCATTTAAAATTTTTCTTTTATCACTCATATTGTGTAAGATAATTAAGAAAACCTGTTTTACCCGTTTTTCCCCCTTTTTACCCGTAAATGTACAAGTTTGCAAAAATTCCTCCTTACTGGATCTACATAACTGTCAAAATTTCATGATTCTAGGTTCAGCCGTTTGGGCTGTGCGATGATGAATCAGTCAGTCAGTAACGCTACTCTTTTATATGGCTTTCACTCACAAATAAATTTTCTCAGGCTCACATCTGAAGCAAAGTTGTAGCCATTGTCATAAAGATCAAAAATTTTGAACATATAAAAACGCAAAAAACTTGAAAAAAATCGATTTTTTAAGTGTTAAAAAAAAAAGATATTTTAAGTGCTGATCTAAATACGTATACTTAACATTTACAATATCAATAAATCATTAACACGTATACGTACAGGTGCTGTCAATGAAAAGCAGTCAGTATAATTTCACAATGTACAATTTATTGAAATAAAACAAGTTAGAGTGCTATATTCGGCTGAGCCGAATCTAAAATAACCTCCATCAGCAACTTTTATTAAAAATTACTTTTTAAGAATGACTTCAGAAGTTGTGCATTTCGACTCAAATAAAGGGATATCACTCCTATTACAAGCCTGTGATAAAATCATATTTTCTGAAGTTTTTTTTTTTCAGTACTTCCATGGAGTAAATTCTATTTCAATGAAATGCATTTAGTATAAAGTCGTCTTTGAAAAGTATATTATTGAGTATGAACAAGGCATTACCTTTGTTTTTGCTGGGTTACTCGTCTTTTTCGCTCTCATGTTTTATTCAACTTTATCAGGTTGTGTTGCTTTCAGTGCAAAAGGAATTCAAATGTGAATAAGTTCACTATGAACATAAGTATTTATATCATCTTTTTCTGTTATTCTTTTGTTGATAAACAACATTTGCATGCAACGACTAACATTTTTAAAAATGACAAAAAGGTAATGCATTTACATATGACTACTTATGTTGTAATAATACAGGACGATATCCTACACCACTGTAGTAGTTTTAGTTCAAATAAAAATACAATCGAATACGACATCTGCCGCGGAAGCACACACACATTTGAACAGTGTCGGTTGAATTACCATAAATTTAGGTTTTGATATTGGCTTGTTGATTTAGACCGCCGATTTAATATAACGCCAAAAAAGTATAAAGAGTTATTTTTTAGGTTCTATCAAACAAAATTGGAGTAACAAGAACCTTTTCAAATGTTCTTGAAGATCATATACATATATCCCTTTAAATTGTGAAAGAATTGCAAGAACAATTTCAATTCAAGAAGTGGTTCGTTCTCACATAAGCTTACAAATAATCTCCATTTATTTGCGACGATGCAAATCTATGGAGTTTCGTTTTTGTTAACTATTATAGGGAGATTTTAAGAGTATTACTTAAACGAGTATTACTTAAATGTACGTAGTTATAAAACCTATTTTATATTAAATATCATCACTATACTGACATTTTTTAATGTAGTTATCATGAAAGAGTAATTTTCTGAAGCGAACGCTGTCATTCGCTAAACTTTGTAATATCATTTCTGGATATAAAACAGTAATTCCTAAATAACACTTAATTTCTGAATAAAAAATTAAAAAAAAAAAAACTGGAATAAAAAGCTCAATATTTAATACATCTTTATATAACCTACAACGCTTTAGTAAGGATTGTAATACAGCATTGTACTCAGTATGTAATATTGGTCATACACCCACCTTCGGTTGAGCTATGTCCATCTGTCCATCCATGTAAACATTCGAAGAAAACTACAGGTCACAATTTTAAATATAAGTTTATAAAATTTGGCATATAAGAACAAAGTCCACATAAATGATGCAGTCGATTTTCGTATGGATCAAGCCTCATTTGACCTTCAGAAAATGATGTAAAAGTTATATTCGATTTGATAGTTTTATCTTTCTTAATATTTACAAATCAATTATAGTCTTTAAATTTACTTTATGTAGTGGCCCTTAAAAAAATATGCTTAATATGATTGATCAGACCATTTAAAGCTAATACAAAACCATATTGAACAAGTTAGAGTGCTATATTCGGCTGAGCCGAATCTTAAATACCCTCCACCAGCAACTTTTGTATTAATACATTTCTAATTAATAAAATATTTGTAGAAATAAGTTTTCTCATGTCATAAATAGAAAAATCCCAAGATTTAAACAGCTTAAATCTACTACAATTCCAAGATTTATTGAACATTAGAAACGCCACTTTCTTTTAAATTTTTATAGCGCCCTAAGATATGCTTTAGCGATATCTAGTATTTGCATGTATGCATGTGTGTGAAAGATTTAAGGATTTTCAAAACACATACATATATATATATATAATTTTGTTTTACAAAAATTGATAATGCAAATAGTTAAATACGGTTAAAGCGCTTTTAGAGACAGGACCTAGTATGAGAGATATGGCCAAAAATAGACCGATCGTGAAAAAATTTTAAAATAACATTAATTGCTTTTTGCATTACAAAATAGTATTTATGAACAAAAATAGTATTTATTTATATCATTATTTGGTAATGAGTTATGTGCCTTTAAGTGTTTTTCTGAAAGGGACAATACTTATACCAAATTTTATATGGATATCTTAATTTATACCAAATTTTATATGGATATCTTAATTTAGTAATGAGTTATGCGCGTTTAAGTGATTTTCGGGAGGGGACCTTTTATGGGAGCTATGACCAATTATGGACCGATCGGAAAAAAACTTTCACAGTAATATTTCTATGCATATGGGCAATACTTATACCAAATTTTATATGGATATCTTAATTTAGTAATGAGTTATGCGCGTTTAAGTGATTTTCGGGAGGGGACCTTGTATGGGAGCTATGACCAATTATGGACCGATCGGAAAAAAATTTCACAGTAATATTTCTGTGCATATGAGTAATACTTGTACCAAATGTTATATGGATATCTTAATTCAGTAATGAGTAATGCGCGTTTAAGTGATTTTCGCGAGAGAACCTTGTATGGGAGCTATGACCAATTATAGGCCGATCAGAAAAAATTTCACAGTAATATTTCTATGCATATTGACAATACTTGTACCAAATTTTATATGGATATCTTTATTTAGTAATGAGTTATGCGCGTTTAAGTGATTTTCGGGAGGGGACCTTGTATGGGAGCTATGACCAATTATGGACCAATCGGAAAAAACTTTCACAGTAATATTTCTATGCATATGGGCAATACTTATACCAAATTTTATATGGACATCTTAATTTAGTAATGAGTTATGCGCGTTTAAGTGATTTTCGGTAGGGGACCTTGTATGGGAGCTATGTCCAATTATGGACCGATCCATAAAATTTTTCCTCTGAAAGAATTCTATTGACATAAGATTTTAATTTGTAAAATTTTGTGAAGATATCGACATTGTGGCGGAAGTTATTAACAAAAAACCCATTTTCCGGGAATATGTACTTTTGTATGGGAGGTATATGAAATTGTGGACCGATTTTCAGCAGGGATCAAGATCTTGTGCAGAAACGGTGATTTCCATGGAATTATCTTGCATAGTTTTCGAGAAAACTACATCAGAATGTGTAAAAAATGCTTATTTTTTTCCGAGGTTGTTTTAAATTTTGATTCATAACTTTTCCCGGTGTGAACCGATTTTGCCCATTTGCAATACCAAACAACTTAGGAAAATGAGGAACATTTTGGGTGAATTTATTTAAACTCTATTGCTTCGTTTTATCGTGAGCGTGTTTTACACAGACAGACGGGCAGACGGACATAGCTAAATCGACTCAGAATTTGATAAGGACCCAGAATATATATACTTTGTTGGATATCAGATGAATATTTCTTGGTGTTACACACGGAATGACAAAGTTATATATACCCTCTATCACCACTGATGGTGGTGGAGGGTATAAAAACGAATAGAAAATTATTAAAAAAATTTTCTTTTAAAGGATTAACTTTTCATTCTATTGCAGAATGTAGCTGTTCATGCTTATGATAACGGTGATGTTAATGATAATGACAATGTTGTTGCTGTTGTTGATTTTTAAATTTTGCTGTTACTGATACTTATGTTTCTGATGGAAAATAAATGCAATAACATTTATAATAATACCCTGTTTTTTTTAATACCATCGCATCCTCATCATCAATATTATTCTGATAATAATGATGTCAGCAGCAGCAATTGTGCAGCAAAAATAAATTTAGAAACTAAATGTGCTAAAGAAAAATAACAACAACAGAAGTCTTAAACATAACCATTTCTAAAAGTTTGAATCTAAATACCTAAAGTAAGATGGTGTTGCCTGTTATCATGTCTTTATATAAATAAAAGTTTTCTAAGTAGTAGGTTTTGTGTATTTTTACTCTTCTGCTTTATAAATATCTATGCTTGAAACACACTTGTATCATATTCTTGGGATATTCTTTTGTTAATGTAAAGACACGTTTCAATGTTGGCACATTAACTGTCTTTAAGTCGTCAACCAGCAACAGAAACAGCCATATCACCACCATCATTATCAGTGGCAGTAATAGACTTGGAAGTACTGCTACTGATACATGTAACAGCAAACCTAAAAGTTATGACATCACTTGCACTACTCGTGCAATTTATACAAACAACGATATCATCAAAAACAAAAGCAACAGAAACAACATTAGTCCTGTAGACAACAACATAATAAACATCACTTTGCATAAGTTGTATGTTGTATGTGGCAATGTGTATGTGAATATTTCGAGATGGCAGATTGTTATGTAAAAGCTGCAGTCGTAGTAGTTGTAGTCGTATTAAATCTATTATGCCTTCCAGCATATTTTTAGAGATCACATGACAGCATAGGCAAGTTAACATAATACAAGATTTTCTTCTTATTACCAATGTTGTTGCTATTCTTATTGTTGATGACAACCAGTAACCGTCATCATCACAAACTTTTTCTCCTACCCTTCCACTTCTATCTTCTGCCCCTTTATGGCCACATATTATGTTTAATATAGAGGCTGTAGCTGCTGCAACAGCAACAACAATTGTGGCGCAAACCAAAGGCATCAACAATGTTTTACTGTATTTGTAATGAATACTGCTCGCTCCACTCTTTTGCATGGCAGCTGGATTTTCATCTGTAAGTAGCATTTAATAAAAAATCACAAGTTATTAACATAGATACATATAAAAAGAAAATAGTATTTTTTTGTTTAAATGAAAATTTTTTAGTAATAGAAAAAAGTGTTTTCATATACACATTTCTTTCATTAGCATAGATTAAATGCATACAGCATTTTTAATATAGTAAAAACCAGGAGGAGTTTAATATTTAAATTTGAACCATTTGAAATTTAACATAGAATAACAGAAAAAGTAAACTTCACGACTAACATTCCTTCTACAAATACACATATCTTTGTTTATTCCCAAATGAATATTTTCTCTAGGATGTGTCTAATCTATAGTCTAGTCTAGTAGTCTAGTAGTCTATAGTCTAGTCTATAGTCTAGTCTATAGTCTAGTCTATAGTCTAGTCTATAGTCTAGTCTATAGTCTAGTCTATAGTCAGTCTATAGTCTAGTCTATAGTCTAGTCTAGTCTAGTCTATATAGTCTAGTCTATAGTCTAGTCTATAGTCTAGTCTATAGTCTAGTCTATAGTCTAGTCTATAGTCTAGTCTATAGTCTAGTCTATAGTCTAGTCTATAGTCTAGTCTATAGTCTAGTCTATAGTCTAGTCTATAGTCTAGTCTATAGTCTAGTCTATAGTCTAGTCTATAGTCTAGTCTATGTCTAGTCTAGTCTAGTCTATAGTCTAGTCTATAGTCTAGTCTATAGTCTAGTCTATAGTCTAGTCTATAGTCTAGTCTATAGTCTAGTCTATAGTCTAGTCTATAGTAGTCTATAGTCTAGTCTATAGTCTAGTCTATAGTCTAGTCTATAGTCTAGTCTATAGTCTAGTCTATAGTCTAGTCTATAGTCTAGTCTATAGTCTAGTCTATAGTCTAGTCTAGTCTAGTCTAGTCTATAGTCTAGTCTATAGTCTAGTCTATAGTCTAGTCTATAGTCTAGTCTATAGTCTAGTCTATAGTCTAGTCTATAGTCTAGTCTAGTCTAGTCTCGTCTATAGTCTAGTCTATAGTCTAGTCTATAGTCTAGTCTATAGTCTAGTCTATAGTCTAGTCTATAGTCTAGTCTATAGTCTAGTCTATAGTCTAGTCTATAGTCTAGTCTATAGTCTAGTCTATAGTCTAGTCTATAGTCTAGTCTATAGTCTAGTCTATAGTCTAGTCTATAGTTAGTCTATAGTCTAGTCTATAGTCTAGTCTATAGTCTAGTCTATAGTCTAGCTCTATAGTCTAGTCTATAGTCTAGTCTATGTCTAGTCTAGTCTCTAGTCTAGTCTATAGTCTAGTCTATAGTCTAGTCTATAGTCTAGTCTATAGTCTAGGTCTATAGTCTAGTCTATAGTCTAGTCTATAGTCTAGTCTATAGTCTAGTCTCTAGTCTCGTCTATAGTCTAGTCTATAGTCTAGTCTATAGTCCAGTCTATAGTCTAGTCTATAGTCTAGTCTATAGTCTAGTCTATAGTCTAGTCCTATAGTCTAGTCTATAGTCTAGTCTATTAGTCTAGTCTATAGTCTATAGTCTAGTCTATAGTCTAGTCTATAGTCTAGTCTATAGTCTAGTCTATAGTCTAGTCTATAGTTAGTCTATAGTCTAGTCTATAGTCTAGTCTATAGTCTAGTCTATAGTCTAGTCTATAGTCTAGTCTATAGTCTAGTCTATAGTCTAGTCTATAGTCGTCTTAGTCTAGTCTAGTCTAGTCTATAGTCTAGTCTATAGTCTAGTCATAGTCTAGTCTATAGTCTAGTCTATAGTCTAGTCTATCGTCTAGTCTATAGTTAGTCTATAGTCTAGTCTATAGTCTAGTCTATAGTCTAGTCTATAGTCTAGTCTATAGTCTAGTCTATAGTCTAGTCTATAGTTAGTCTATAGTCTAGGTCTATAGTCTAGTCTATAGTCTAGTCTATAGTCTAGTCTATAGTCTAGTCTATAGTCTAGTTATAGTCTAGTCTATAGTCTAGTCTATAGTCTAGTCTATAGTCTAGTCTATAGTCTAGTCTATAGTCTAGTCTATAGTCTAGTCTATAGTCTAGTCTATAGTCTAGTCTATAGTCTAGTCTATAGTCTAGTCTCTAGTCTATAGTAGTCTATAGTCTAGTCTATAGTCTAGTCTATAGTCTAGTCTATAGTCTAGTCTATAGTCTAGTCTATAGTCTAGTCTATAGTCTAGTCTATAGTCTAGTCTATAGTCTAGTCTATAGTCTAGTCTATAGTCTAGTCTATAGTCTAGTCTATAGTCTAGTCTATAGTCTAGTCTATAGTCTAGTCTATAGTCTAGTCTATAGTCTAGTCTATAGTCTAGTCTATAGTCTAGTCTATAGTCTAGTCTATAGTCTAGTCTATAGTCTCTATAGTCTAGTCTATAGTCTAGTCTATAGTCTAGTCTATAGTCTAGTCTATAGTCTAGTCTATAGTTTAGTCTATAGTCTAGTCTATAGTCTAGTCTATAGTCTAGTCTATAGTCTAGTCTATAGTCTAGTCTATAGTCTAGTCTATAGTCTAGTCTATAGTCTAGTCTATAGTCTAGTCTATAGTCTAGTCTATAGTCTAGTCTATAGTTTAGTCTATAGTCTAGTCTATAGTCCAGTCTATAGTCTAGTCTATAGTCTAGTCTATAGTCTAGTCTATAGTCTAGTCTATAGTCTAGTCTATAGTCTAGTCTATAGTCTAGTCTATAGTCTAGTCTATAGTCTAGTCTATAGTCTAGTCTATAGTCTGGTCTACAGTCTAGTCTATAGTCTGTCTAGTCTATAGTCTGTCTAGTCTATAGTCTGTCTAGTCTATAGTCTGTCTAGTCTATAGTCTGTCTAGTCTATAGTCTGTCTAGTCTATAGTCTGTCTAGTCTATAGTCTGTCTAGTCTATAGTCTGTCTAGTCTATAGTCTGTCTAGTCTATAGTCTAGTCTATAGTCTAGTCTATAGTCTAGTCTATAGTCTAGTCTATAGTCTAGTCTATAGTCTAGTCTATAGTCTAGTCTATAGTCTAGTCTAGTCTATAGACTAGACTATAGACTAGACTATAGACTAGACAATTATACAATTAATTGTTTTACAAGGATTGACCTGAAACTTTTTAAATAAAAACGTATACACCTAATGTATATAAATGTGTACATGTATGTGTGTTAAATAAATTTTCATAATAATAATAATTAAAAGCAACACAACACACAAACAAAATCGCATTAACGAGACACATACAACCAGAGAAATAATATTTAAATTAAAAATAACAAAAAATATAAACTGACATTTATATAAAAACATATATCTGCACACGCTGATCCTTTGCTGTCAAGCCAATAATGGCATAAATCACACATTTGTAATGGAGGCGTTAACATGATTATTCCTAGAATTTTAACTTTAAGTAATAAAGGAATAATTTTGTAAAATTTTCTCTAATTCATTTAACTTATAAATAATTAATCGCTAATAGGATATTATTGACTTTCCTAGAATATTTAATTACTAATTAATTCAGCTTATAATTTTAAAATTTAATCTGAGTGAAAAAAAAACTATAAAAATAATAAATAAAAATTAATTGCTTAACAAAATGTAAACATAAATATCGCTATTAGTGTTGCTGTGTTTTCATATTGCTATTTTTAATAAAAATTATCATAAATTTAAGGAAATTATTATTTTTATACCCACCATCAAAAAAGATGGGGGCTATATTGATTTTGTCATTTCGCTTGTAACACATCGAAATACTGATCATAAACCCATAAAAATATATATATTCTGGGTCCTTATTAAATTCAAAGACGATCTACACAGAAAAAATTATCAGTAGTTTATTTTCAATTAACATGTTTTTCTCTTTCTTTAATTTTAATTTGAGCAATTTTTTATTTGTCTTAATTATCTCGTTGTTTAAAACCTAAGTTTATAAATTTGATTAAATTTTTAATTGGTTCAATTAATTTTTTAATTGATTGAAAAAAAATTTCTGGCCAACTTTTCTATTTTAGTTTTTTTTTAAATATTTAATTTTGATTTCTTATGCTAACAATGTTTATAATTCTTAAATAGTCAATACGATTTTAGGCATATAATATTCAAGTTTCCTGACAATTTATAAAACATATGCTCAACGCATTGTTAAAGGTCAAGCATTCCTTTAACATTGTGAGTAATCAATTAATAATTTTATTGTTTTAATCATCAACTTAATTGGTTTTTAATACATTTTTTACCAAACAAACTAATTCATTTGATTAATAAATTAATTAAAATTAGATTTTATTTTTATTAAATATTTAATTTATACAATTAATGAATTAATCAATTTTAAATTTTGTCTCAATTATTGATATTAATTGTTCCGATTAATTCATTATTTGGAAAAAAAAGTATTTTTTTAATTTTTTTACAAATTTGATAATTGATATCATCATTTTGGTGATAGGTGCAAAACTTGCTTGATACAATTATTTTGATAATTGAAACATATTTTTAGTTTTTTCTGTGTAGCCATGTTTCATATGAGTCAAAAACTTTTTACCAAATTTTCTTAGGATCGGCCAATAATTGACCCTACCCCCATATAAGGTCCCCTTTTGAAATTGACTCTAATGCTGATGACTGGCTTAAACATACGAATATTGTGATGAAATTTGACACGCATAGGTTTCATGCAAGTTAATATCTCTCCACCAAACTATATGTGGATCGGTCCATAATTCCCTACCCCCCATATAAGGTCCCCTTCCGAAAATGACTTAAACACTCATTACTGGCCTAAACATTCGAGTATAGCGATGAAATTCGGTATAAGTAAGTTTCTTACGGACCAAAACCTCTCAACACAAGTAAATTTCTTACGAGATAAATAAAACCTTTCTACAAATTTTTTTAGGACTTTACCCTCCATATAAAGCCCCCTTCTAAAAATGACTATAACGCTCATTACTGGCTTAAAAATATGAATATAGTGACGAAATTTGACACACGAGCAAAAATCTCTCTACTAAATTTAGTGAGGATCGGTTCATAATTGA